CAAAGAGAATGAATCCAAGCTGGAAAATACTCTTCAGGATATTATCCAGGAAAACTTTCCCAACCTAGCAAGGCAGGCAAATATTCAAGTCCAGGAAATACAGAGAACACCACAAAGATATTCCTCAAGAAGAGCAACCCTAAGGCACATAATCATCAGATTTACCAGGGTTGAAATGAAGGAGAAAATACTAAGGGCAGCCAGAGAGAAAGGTCGAGTTACCCACAAAGGGAAGCCCATCAGACTCACAGCAGATCTCTCAGCAGAAACCCTAAAAGCCAGAAGACAGTGGGGCCAATATTTGACATCCTTAAAGAAAAGAGCTTTCAACCCAGAATCTCCAATCCAGCCAAACTAAGCTTCATAAGTGAGGGAAAAATAAAATCCTTTGTGAACAATCAAGTACTCAGAGATTTTGTCACCACCAGGCCAGCTTTACAAGAGCTCCTGAAAGAGGCTCTACACATATGAAGGAACAACCAGTACCAGCCACTCCAAAAACATGCCAAATGGTAAAGAGAATCAACACAATGAAGAATCTGCATCAACTAATGGGCAAAACAGCCAGCTAGCACCAAAATGGCAGTATCAAATTCACAGATAACAATATTAACCCTAAATGTTAACGGACTAAATGCCCCAATCAAAAGACACAGACTGGCAAATTGGATAAAAAGCCAAAACCCATCGGTGTGCTGTATCCAGGAAACCCATCACACATGCAAGGATACACAAAGGCTCAAAATAAAGGGATGGAGGAAGATTTACCAAGCAAATGGAGAGCAAAAAAAAGCAGGAGTTGCAATTCTCATCTCTGATAAGTTAGACTTTAAAGCAACAAAGATCAAAAGAGACAAAGAAGGACATTACATAATGGTAAAAGGATCAATGCAACAAGAAGAGCTAACGATCCTAAATATATACGCACGCAATACAGGAGCACCCAGATACATAAGGCAAGTTCTTAATGACTTACAAAGAGACCTAGACTCCCACACAATTATAGTGGGAGACTTTAACACACCATTGTCAATATTAGACAGATCAACCAGACAGAAAATTAACAAGGATATCCAGGACTTGAGCTCAGACCTGGACCAAGCAAATCTAATAGACATTTACAGAACTCTCCACCCCAAATCCACAGAATATACGTTCTTCTCAGCACCACATCACACTTACTCTAAAATTGACCACATAACTGGGAGTAAATCACTCCTCAGCAAAAGCAAAAGAACGGAAATCATAACAAACAGTCTCTCAGACCACAGTGCAATCAAGTTAGAACTCAGAATTCAAAAACTAACCCAGAACCGCACAGCTTCATGGAAACTGAACAACTTGCTCTTGAATGTTGACTGGATAAACAACGAAATGAAGACAGAAATAAAGATGTTCTTCGAAACCAACGAGAATGAAGACACAACATACCAGAATCTCTGGGACACATTTAAAGCAGTCTCTAGAGGAAAATATATAGCAATGAGTGCCCACATGAGAAGCACGGAGAGATCAAAAATGGACACCCTATCATCAAAATTGAAACAGCTAGAGGAGCAAGATCAAAAAAACTCAAAGTCTAGCAGAAGACAAGAAATAGCTAAGATCAGAGCAGAGCTGAAGGAGATAGAGACACAAAAAACCCTTCAAAAAATCAATAAATCCAGGAGCTGGTTTTTTGAAAAGATCAACAAAATAGACAGACCACTAGCCAGATTAATAAAAAAGAAAAGAGAGAATAACCAAATTGATGCAATAAAAAACGATAAAGGGGATATCATCACAGATTCCACAGAAATTCAAACCATCATCAGAGATTATTACAAACAACTCTATGCACATAAACTAGTAAACCTGGAAGAAATGGATAAATTCCTGGACACTTGCCTCCTCCCAAGCCTAAACCAGGAAGAAGCCGAAACCCTGAACAGACCCGTAACAAGGTCTGAAGTTGAGGCAGCAATTAAGAGTTTACCACCCAAAAAAAGCCCAGGTCCAGATGGATTCACAGCCGAATTCTACCAGACATGCAAAAAGGAGCTGGTACCATTCCTTCTGAAACTATTCCAAACAATACAAAAAGAGGGAATTCTTCCCAAATCATTTTATGAGACCAACATCAACCTGATTCCAAAACCTGGGAGAGACTCAACAAGAAAAGAAAACTTCAGGCCAATATCCATGATGAACACAGATGCAAAAATCTTCAATGAAATACTGGCAAACCAATTATAACAGCACATCAAAAAGCTTATCCACCATGATCAAGTAGGCCTCAGCCCGGGGATGCAAGGCTGGTTCAACATACGCAAGTCTATAAACGTAATTCACCACATAAACAGAACCAAAGACAAAAACCACATGATTATCTCAATTGATGCAGAGAAGATCTTTGACAAAATTCAACAGCCCTTTATGCTAAAAACTCTCAATAAGCTAGGTATTGATGGAACGTATTTCAAAATAATAAAAGCTATTTACGACAAACCAACAGCCAATATCATACTGAATGGGCAAAAACTGGAAGCATTCCCCTTGAAATCTGACACCAGACAAGGATGCCCTCTCTCACCACTCCTATTCAATATAGTACTAGAAGTTCTAGCCAGAGCAATCAGGCAAGAAAAAGAAATAAAGCATATTCAAATAGGAAAGGAGGAAGTCAAATTGTCTCTATTTGCAGACGACATGATTGTATATCTAGAAGACCCCATCGTCTCAGCCCAAAAGCTCCTGAAACTGATAAGCAACTTCAGCAAAGTCTCAGGATACAAAATCAATGTGCAAAAATCACATGCATTCCTATACACCAATAACAGACTTAAAGAGAGCCAAATCAAGAACGAACTGCCATTCACAATTGCCACAAAGGGAATAAAATACCTAGGAATACAACTAACAAAGAGCGTAAAGGACCTCTTCAAGGAGAACTACAAGCCACTGCTCAACGAAATAGGAGAGGACACAAACAGATGGAGAGACATTCCATGCTCATGGTTAATAAGAATCAATATCGTGAAAATGGCCATACTGCCCAAAGTAATTTACAGATTCAATGCTATCCCTATCAAGCTACCAATGACCTTCTTCACAGAACTGGAAAAAACCACCTTAAACTTCATATGGAACCAAAAGAGATCCCACATAGCCAAGTCAATTCTAAGCAAAAAGAACAAAGCAGGAGGCATCACACTACCAGACTTCAAATTATACTACAAGGCTACAGTAATCAAAACAGCATGGTACTGGTACCAAAACAGAGATATAGACCAATGGAACAGAACAGAGGTCTCGGAGGCAACACAATGTATCTACAACCATCTGGTCTTTGACAAACCAGACAAAAACAAGCAATGGGGAAAGGATTCCCTGTTTAATAAATGGTGTTGGGAAAACTGGCTAGCCATGTGCAGAAAGCAGAAACTGGACCCCTTCCTGACACCTTACACTAAAATTAACTCCAGATGGATTAAAGACTTAAACATAAGACCTAACACCATAAAAACCCTAGAAGAAAATCTAGGCAAAACCATTCAGGACATAGGTGTAGGCAAGGACTTCATGACCAAAACACCAAAAGCATTGGCAGCAAAAGCCAAAATAGACAAATGGGACCTAATCAAACTCCACAGCTTCTGCACAGCAAAAGAAACTGTCATTAGAGTGAATCAGCAACCAACAGAATGGGAAAAAATTTTTGCAGTTTGCCCCTCTGACAAAGGGCTGATATCCAGAATTTACAAAGAACTAAAACAGATTTACAAGAAAAAACAAGCCCATTCAAAAGTGGGCAAAGGATATGAACAGACACTTTACAAAAGAAGACATACATGAGGCCAACAAACATATGAAAAAATGCTCATCATCACTGGTCATCAGAGAAATGCAAATCAAAACTACATTAAGATACCATCTCACGCCAGTTAGAATGGCGATCATTAAAAAATCTGGAGACAACAGATGCTGGAGAGGATGTGGAGAAATAGGAACACTTTTGCACTCTTGGTGGGAGTGTAAATTAGTTCAACCATTGCGGAAGACAGCGTGGTGATTCCTCAAGGACCTACAAATAGAAATTCCATTTGACCCAGCAATCCCATTACTGGATATATATCCAAAGGATTATAAATCGTTCTACTATAAGGACAGGTGCACACGAATGTTCATTGCAGCACTGTTTACAATAGCAAAGACCTGGAACCAACCCAAATGCCCATCGATGATGGACTGGACAGGGAAAATGTGGCACATATACACCATGGAATATTATGCAGCCATCAAAAACAATGAATTTGTGTCCTTTGTAGGGACATGGATGAACCTGGAAACCATCATTCTCAGCAAACTGACAGAAGAGCAGAAGATCAAACACTGCATGTTCTCACTCATAGGCAGGTGTTGAACAATGAGAACACATGGACGCAGGGAGGGGAGTACTACACACTGGGGTCAGTTGGGGGGAAATGGGGAGGATGGTGGGGGGGTGGGGAGTTGGGGAGAGATAGCAAGGGGTGAGATGCCAGATGTAGGTGATGGGGAGGAAGGCAGCAAATCACACTGCCACATGTGTACCTATGCAACAATCTTGCATGTTCTTCACATGTACTCCAAAACCTAAAATGCAATAAAATAAATAAATGGGAAAAAAAAAAAGAAAGAAAGAAAGAAGAAAATTAGATTTTTAGAAATTCAGGGCTTTGTTTTGCTTTTTCTTAGCTTTATACTTAAAAATTTCTTTCTGATATAATTTGAGTGGAATTGTTTTTCTAATTTTATTTTCAGATTAATCATAGCTAGTATATACAATTGCAATTGAATTATATATGTTGGTTTTGTCGTTTCACCTTGCTGAATTCATTTATTTGTTCTAGCAGATTTTAGGAAATTCCTTACAGACTTTTACATACAAGTTTATGAAAGATGCAATAAAGGACTTTTATTTTTTTCCAAAAACAAACAGAAAAAGATTTGTGCGTTTAGCTCAGAAAAAAGGTAAATTGAAAAGTAAACAAAACAGTGGCAGAGGAGGAAGTTTTCGCCACACCTCTGAAGGAAGCGGAAGCCTCAGTAAAAAGTATTTTCAGTTTGCTGTCAGAATGGCAACAGCGTTGACTGCCTCAAGGTCTCAAGCACCCGTCTTCACCGCGGAAAGCATGTTGTGGCTGTTCCGATTGCTCCTGCTTGTCTTCTGCTTTGGCCCAGGTAAATGTCAATGCAGACCCATGTAGTCACTAGTGACTCCCTGGTTTTATGTCACTAGTGACTACACGGGTCTGCATTGCTCAATCTAAATCGTCCGTATATGGTTGTCTGTCTGTCTGGCTCCCTGTCAAGGGATTGGGGTGGGGAAGGGGATGCTCGTGGTGGTACCTGATATAAGTACCACTCATATACCTCCTCTCAACTTTGAATGCCATAAGCCTGAAATGGTTGTCAGTGAACAATTTCAACTGTGTCTGTATGTAAGAAAGTTATTTGCTGGGGCAGAGGAAATAAGCTTTTGCAAAATAAGACAGTGGTATATGGCCAGCATACTGTAAAGAGTACCAAGATCAAGAAAATGAGCCCTCATACCAATTTAGCTACTACCTTTCTATGAACCTCAAGAAGGTTACTTATCCTCTCTGAACCTCACTATCCTCATCTTAAATATTAAAAACCTATTATTCAGTTGAGCCAAAATTTCTGGGCCCAACCAAACACACTAAAAATAATCCTCTCTAGCTGCAAAAAAAAAAAAAAAGAAGGTTTCCATCTCTCCCCTCCTTTAGTGCAAATTAGGATGGAGTGCTTAGTATATTTCAAGTATTGTTTCAGGTGATGTACACACATTATGAGTCTCATGAGAATTCTATGAATTTGTGTGATTATTATCTCCATTTTAAAATAAAGAACTCGGGTGAAGTTAATTTAAATAACTTGCCCAAATTTCATTAGCCAGCATGCAGCAAGCTCTTGTAATAGTTCTGAGAAACAATGACAACCGAATGAGTGTGGCAGCAGCATAAAAGACAGGATGGAAGCAAGAGATCCCATCGATATGGAGTTAAGTAGATTAACTGGCAATTGGAATGAGGGGGAAGGAGGATTTGTTAAGTCGTTTAATAAATATTCATCGAGCACCTATTGGATGTCTGGCACTGTTCTAGTTTGCATGAATACATCATGAACAAAGCAAGCAAAAAAATTCCTGCTCTCGTGGAGTTAACGTTTTAGCAGAAGACAAACCATAAAAACAAAAAAACAAGTAAAATAATGTATTGAATAGTGATAAGGAAGAAATAAAAGTAGAAAAAAGAAATTCAAGTAGAAAAGGGAGAGATGAAATACGGTAAAGAGGGCAGTGAAATTTCTGACAGGATAGCCAAAGAAAGTGACAAAATTGGAAGGTGGAGAGCAGCCACAGGAGGAAGGTGAGTTCAGTTTTGGACCTGCTGATTTTAGGATGTCGGTGTACTATCCATGAGGAAGTTACGTGAAAGTTCCTGGGAATTTAGGACTAGGAGTAGGGGTGAGTCTGGAGACTTAAAAATCAACAGCATAGGGGTAAGTTAAACTAAGGAGAAAACTGGAATGAGAACAGAACTTTGGGAAATATATATACAATGCAGAAAGAGAGGGAATTCTTGCTTTCGTTCAAGAGCCACTTCCTGACCTGGGAGCAGAATCTTGAGTTTTTGTTTCATTTTTACCTCCCTGCAAAATGAAATCCACCTCTAAAATAGAAATATTCTGAATGTCCTCATGTTAAAACTCCTCTTCTTCTCCCTATTTCCATGAATACTTCTTATAGTGACTCTATGAAATATACAGGGCTCCCATCTCCATTTCACAGATGGGGAAAGAAGGCACAGAGCACTTAAGTAACTTGCTTACTGTCCCACAGTTATGGGGGAAATGGGTATAGAAAGAGAAACACATTTGAATGTGTTTGCAGGAGGCAGATGCAGGTGTTCTGAGGCCCAGGAGGGGAGAAGTGGCTGCTAGAACTGGAAATCAGGGAGCCTGGCTCTGAACTGTGTGCTCATGACCACTTCATCATATTACTTAGCTTACACACAGTCACATGTTCACACAAATGCATATATAATTAGAAAATGTGAGGCCAGCAAGAAAATAAGCAGGGCACCTTGATAGAGAAAAACACAGGGACCTGCTTTAAACTGAGTGATGAAGAAAGGACTTTCTGAAAAAATAACATTTCATCTTGTATTTAAAGAGTGTGAAAAGTTAAACAGGAAACGTCAAATGAAGAAGCTTTTAAGGCAGAAGGGATCATGTGAGTAAAGACCCTGATGCAGGGAAGAGCTTGGAGCAATTTAGGAAGGGAAAGAGACCCCTGTTGCAAAAGTGCAGGGGAAATGAAATCAATCATGGAAACAACCATGAAAAACAATGACTCATGCCAGCCTACATTCTTTCAAATGAATGGGAAAGAATCTTCCATTCTTTCCAAAGAATGGGCGCTATCCAACTCGCCTCGTTTTAGAAAATTTAGCTGAAAAGAAAAACCTTGTTGAAAAATAATCCTGTTTCCTTTAACTGAAGCCCTGGGTGGCAAAACTAACAGAAAAAAAACAATAATTATAACTGAAATCAAGCATCATGACATCCTAGAAAAAGTGAATCTTGTTTCTTCATTTTAATTTCTATAGATAGAAGCCTGTCAGACTTCAATGGTCATATAAATTACTTGAGGGAATCTTATTAAAATGCTGATTCTGGAATAGGGACTGAGATTCTGCATTTCTAACAGTCTCCCAGGTGACACCAATGCTCCCTGTCCATGGACCACACTGAACAGCAAGGTCCTAAATTCCACTGGACTTCAGTCACAGTGAGATTTTAGGGAGGGAGAAATAGGAACTAATTTTTGAGTGTGTTTGCAGGAAGCAGATATAGGTATTCTGAGGTCCAGGAGAGAGCAGCCAGTGGTTGGAAACAGAAGTAAAGCCAACCCGTGAGAGCTGATTCTGAGGTTAAGTCAAAATGTGCAATGCTCTTCTGCAAAGAGATTGTGATCTAATGGCTCCCTGAGCAGCATTATCTACTTTTTGCCAATCGTACACACCTTTAAATGTTTACTATTGCTCAACAGGTAGAGAGCTGTTTTATATTTTTTCATTATCCTCAAAGATGTGTGTTTTTCTATCCCTCAGAATGTGCAATCTCCAATGCGACCTCCAGTCATTCATACCTCTGTTTTTGGTCCCTTAACCCAGTTTCAGTTTTAGTTGTTTCTCTGTCGACACTCAGACATTTTTTATTAAGGTGAAATTCTTGTAACACAATGTAATAATTTTAAAGTATGAAATTCAGTGGTATTTTGTACATTCGCAATGTTGTGAAACCACCACTTCTATTATGCTTAAACATTTCAACACCCTAAAGAACGCCCTGTACCCACTAAGCAGTCATTTCCCATTCTCCCGTCCCCCTAGCCCCTGGCAAATACTGATCTGCTTCCTGTCTCTGTGGGTTTACCTATTCTGGGGAATTTCATATAAACTAAATCATACAATATATATATAACTTTTTGTGTCTGACTTCTTTCACTTAGCATCGTGTTTTCCAGGTTCGTCCATGTTGTACCATGTATCAGTACTTCATTCCTTTTTGGCTGAATAATATTTTATAATCTGTATATACTACATTTTATTTATCCATTCATCTATCAATTGACATCTGGATTGTTTTTGCCTTTTTGGCTCTTGTGAATAGTGCTACTATGTGTACAAGTATTTGACTACCTGTTTTGTTTTTGTTTTTTTTTTTTGAGTCGGAGTTTCCCTCGTTACCCAGGCTGGAGTGCAATGGCGCGATCTTGGCTCACCGCAACCTCCGCCTCCTGGGTTCAGGCAATTCTCCTGCCTCAGCCTCCTGAGTAGCTGGGATTACAGGCACGCACCACCATGCCCAGCTAATGTTTTGTATTTTTAGTAGAGACGGGGTTTCACCATGTTGACCAGGATGGTCTCAATCTCTTGACCTCGTGATCCACCCGCCTCGGCCTCCAAAAGTGCTGGGATTACAGGCGTGAGCCACTGCGCCCGGCCAACTACCTGTTTTTAATTTATCTTTGTATATACCTAGGAATGGAATTGTTGGATCATATCACTCTAAGCTTAACTTTTTGAGGGATTGCCAAACTGTTTTCCACAATGGTTGTACCATTTTATATTTCTGCTAGCTAGGTACAAAACTTATAATTTCTCCACATCCTCATCAACATTTGTTTCTTTCAACCTTTTAAAAAAATTATTATCACCATTCTAGTGTTATTCTGTTGGGCTTCCCTTTGTAGGTGACTTGGCCTTTCTCTCTGGCTGCCCTTAACATTTTTTCCTTCATTTTGACCTTGGAGAATCTAATAATTATGTGTCTGGTGGTTGACCTTCTCATGGAGTATCTTACTGGGGTTCTTTGTATTTCTTGAGTTTGAATGTTGGCCTGTTTTGCTAGGTTGGGTAAGTTCTCCTGGATCACATCCTGAAGTACGTTTCCCAACTTGGTTTCATTTTCCCTGTCTCTTCTAGGTACCATAATCAGTTGTAGATTTGGTCTCTTTACATAATCCCATAGTTCTCAGAGGTTTTGTCTGTTCCTTTTTATTCTTTTTTCTCTGATCTTGTCTGCCTGTTTTATTTCAACAAGATAGTCTTCAATCTCTGAAATTCCTTTCTCCACTTGTTCTATTTGGCTATTGATACTTGCGATTGCATTGTGATGTTTTCATGTTGTGTTTTTCAGCTCCATCAGGTCATTTATGCTCCTCTCTAAACTGGTTATTCTGGTTAACAGCTCCTATGATATTTTATCATGGTTCTTAGGTTCTTTGCATTGAGCTAGAATATGCTCCTTTCGCTCATCAAAGTTCATTATTACCCACCTTCTCAAGCCCACTTCTGTCAGTTCATCTATCTCAGCCTGAGCCCAGTTCTGCGCCCTGCTGGAGAGGTGTTACAGTCATTTGGAGGAGAAGAGGCACTCTGGCTTTTTGGGTTTTCAGCATTCTTTATTGATTCTTTCTCATCTTCCTGAGTTTATCTAGCTTAGCTCTTTGAGGCTGCTGACCTTTGAATGAGTTCTTTTTGTGGGGACTTTTTTGTTGATACTGTTGTTGTTGCTTTCTGTTCATTTTTATTTTAGCAGTCAGGCCCCTCTTCTGCAGGGCTGCTGCAGTTTGCTGGAGCCCCACTCCA